AGTGGATAGATAAATATATTGATGTCTGTAATGCGTATGTAGTTGCTGCACCAACTCCCCCGCCCGCCCACGCCGAGATTAGCTACCCCGATCCGGACCTATCCGCTGCTCCCGCTGCCCTCACCCAGCCCTCGCACAGCAGCCTCTTTGCTGGCCACGAGTCATTCGTAGTCTGCCCCGGCAAGGAGCCAGTCAAAGTGACCTCCAGCCAATTCGTAAGTTCAATTGCGAGCAACTGCATCCAAGATCACGCCCGCAGCCAAAGCTTCTACTAACTGTAATGCGATAGGGCCCCTGAAGGTTTGGCTAGCTACCAATGCTAACACCTACATGGGTTTCTCTATCTGTATCTATTGCCAAGTTTGCATCTCTGTATCTGAATCTTTAGCTTGGCATGATATATAGATACATATTATATTGCTATCTCAATTTGTCTTCCAATTCTATCTCTGTTTAACATCTGATAGTATTTATATATTTATCCATCTTAAATTCTCTGTCAATCGATCTCTCTCTTTTTCTCTCTATTCGTATTTTTATCTAGGTCGATCTGCCCGTGGGCTGCACTCTCAAGAACGTGCGCCCGCAAACGTCAGGCAAGACGCATCTGAAACGCGGCATCCTCACCTCGCTCAGGCGTCGTTATAATCATTTCTAATATAATTAATTATAATTTTTTTTTATTTATTCTTTTATATTATAATGAGCATTTGTAAAATTACATGCATTTCTTATGTCTATTTTTTATGCAATTTATTTTTGTATAACTTTCATGTGTAATTTAAATAAATACTTATATGACATGCACTTTTCTTTGATTCAAATAAATTGGAAATTTTACGGAAATATTTTAGTCTTCATTTGTAATTATCAGAAGGTCGAAATTGTATTCGAAGCAAGAATCACAGCTTCTTTGTCTTTCATTTGTGATAACTTAACTTTACATCACGAAGCTTTAAGCTTCCCAAAAGCCCCGTTCTCCAAATACGCTGATAGCTCAAAAATTCGGTTTGTGTAAATTTGATGACATATTGCATCAGATTTCTGGGAATTAAAGCGAACCACAAAAAACTCTTAAATGTTGACCTTGTGACGCCGCGGAATGCATTGCTGCATAATCTAACACAGCGAGCGCGATAGAGATAGTGATAGAGATGGAGGCAGAAAAGTACCTAAAATATGATGGCTTTCATCATGGTACATGGTACACATGGTGCTTTAGGTACAAATATTTCCTGGGCTTTATTTTATTATTTAAATAAATGCTATATTCTAAATAAATAAATAAATTAAATATTTTACAAAATTAAA